AGTTCTTCTCCACTAACGGTGAGCACTTGGTTTGCAAGCTTAAAAAATCCATATACGGATTGAAACAAGCCTCTCGCCAATGGTATTTAAAATTTCATGATGTTATCTCTTTATTCAATTTTGTGAAGAACACCATAGATCGGTGTATATATCTTAAGGTTAGTGGGAGCAAGATTTGTTTCCTTATTTTGTATGTGGATGATATCTTTCTTGCAACCAATGATAAAGGGTTGTTACATGAGATGAAACAATTTGTCTCTAAGAATTTTGACATGAAGGATATGGGTGAGGCATCTTATGTCATTGGCATTAAGATCCGTAGGAACAGCCTCGAGGTATTTTAGTTCTATCTCAATAAACCTATATCCATAAGGTATTATAGAGATTTCGTATACAAAATTGTTCACCGAGTGTTGCACCAGTTGTGAAGGGAAACCAGTTTTCTTTGAACCAATATCCAAAGAATGATCTCGAAAAAGAGCAAATGAATGCCATTCCATATGCTTTGGCCATCAGGAGCCTTATGTATGCTCAAGTTTGTACTAGGCCCGACATTGTATTTGCTGTTGGGATGTTGGGATGATATCAGAATAACCCGGGATTAGACCACTGGAGAGCTGTAAAGAAAGTGATGAGGTACCTTCAAGGGACCATGGACTACATGCTCATGTATAGGCGGTCAGATGAACTTGAGGTAGTTGGTTATTCCGATTCGGACTTCACCGGATGTGTCGATTCATGAAAATCGACATCATGATACATTTTTCTGTTAGCTAGTGGAGCTATTTCTTGGAAAAGTATCAAGCAAACCTTAGTTGCTACATCTACCATGGAGGCAGAGTTCGTCACTTGTTTTGAGGCATCACATGGTGTCTGGTTAAAAAGTTTCATTTCTGACCTTAAGATTGTGGATTCGATTGCGAGGCCATTAAAGATATACTGTGACAATTCAACTGCTATTTATTTGGCCAAGAACAACAAAAGCAATAGTCAAAGTAAACACATCGACATCAAGTATTTGGTCATTAGGGAACGTGTTAAGAAACGAAAAGTGGTTATTGAACATGTTAGCACTGAATTAATGATTGCTGATCCTATGACAAAAGGCATGCCACCAAAGGGTTATAAGGATCATGTTGTTCAGATGGAACTTGGTTTCCTTATGTGTATCTATACAGATTTCAATTTATAATGAAACTTTTATTCAATAATGTTATTTCTCTTTTGGTATACACATAATGTTTTGAGAATAACATTTCCTCGAACCTCGAATAAACATAAGATTTATTCATCAAGTTACATTGGGTGTTATTAATGTAATATATTGCATTGTGATACATGGATGACAATACTTGCCATAAGAGGACTTGTTGCCATGATTCGTGCATCATATTACTTTAATGATTGGACTCAATAATTTCTTTTCATAGGTATACGGAGCAAGTAGAAGAATGTTAGAATTAATGTGGAATTTTGAAAGCCACAATCCAGAATTAATCCACTGTACAGCATTCTAGTCAACACATCGTAATTCAAGTTGACATATCGTAATTCGAGTGGACACATTCATTTGGTTGCCCACATTCACTTGATGTGCTCCGTGTGCATGAATCCAAATTTAATTCAAACACCCTCTTTAGTTTTCATGATTGATAGAAAACGTGATGTTAAGGCTATAAATTGGTGAAAGTCCCTGGGCTCAATACACCATAAGTAAAACACATCTATCGTTTAAGTGTTTAAGAGTCTGAAAGTATCTTTGCTTGAAATTTCAAAATTATCTCAATGACTAGAGATACCTTTATTCCACATTTAGATTTCTATTTTATTCATCACATGATACGGAGTTGTGCATTTTATTACAAATGTGCTATTGAATTTATCTTTAAATGCAAAATTATTTCATCAACCACACTGTGCACACATATATTCATAATTTTTTAGAAGATAATTTTAATTAAAAAATAACTAAAAATTAAAAATTTATTATATAATTATAAAGTTATTAAAAAATCCAAAAGTCCGCAAGCCCGGCTTGGGCCTTGAACATGGGGCTTGTCTGGAGTTTTGGTGGGAGCCCAACAGGCCAAAATTTTACATCTATAATAATTAACAGGAATGTTGATAATTTTTCAAAATGGTTCGGAATTGAGCTATACTACACTAGCCGTATAAAAATATTATTTTAAAAAAATATATATAAATTTTAATATTAAATAACAAAATATCGAATATTTTTATATAATTTTAATTTTATAAATCACTATTTAAAAAATAGTATTAAACCAATATATTATATATAATAATTTATTAAATTTCTTATGCTATGCATAAAATGATTAAATCCCTAAATATTTGGGACAATCCAAAAGTATACTAAAGACATTAAAAAAATTAGAGATTTATACGAAGGAATGAAACACGAAGGACCAAAATGTAATATATATATATATATATATATATAAACTCATATATACGCACTTAATAGATTTTGTCACGTTGTCAGTTTTAATTGTGACAGATAACATATTGGCTATTTTAACTTTTTTCTTCATCAAGCAATTTCATACATTATATTTTACTTTTAAATGTCCAAACATTTAGTATATATCTTTTCTGTAGAGATGCATAATATAAAATAATTTTATTATAAAATTTATACACTTAATTGTTTGTAAAAATTAGGAAGTATAAAAAAATACTAGACCAATATCTTATATTTAATAAAATTATTTAAATTAAGAGATATTATCTCTTATATTGATTTAAAATTTTTGAGAAAATTACTACTATGTAATGATAGTTTTGATTTGAATTCTTGTACTTTGAATATCAACAAGTTAGAAGTCACAAATCTATACATCTAATAATATTGGTAGTTTCCATGATAATTTTTCTAAACTGCTTTTGTGTTTTAGCTTTAAATATCTCACACTTACCTTGTATATTTAATTAATACAATTTGACAAAATTAAATTTAAATTAAGATCTATTTTGAATATCTATCAATATTCTCTGTCATACTGATAATTAAGTGATCCAGAAAACAAAATTAAATTTGTAATTGTCATTTAAGTACAAATATAATTATTTAGAAGTTTTACCCACGAGTTTCTAATAGAATATTATTTTATAATGTCCTTTTTGTATTCAAATTTATAAAATATATTGGAATTAAATATTAACAAATAAAAAAGCAATCAAATAAAACTTCATCTTGAAAGCTCCTTCTAATCAAATTTTTTCTTGTCATTCTAGTTTTAATGTATTTAAGGACATCTCGTAATTATCTTAACTTGGTGGTTTAGTATTTGATAAAAATATTATTTAATTAAGTTAATTAAGTTAATATAAAATTAAATTTTTTTAAATTATATTAATTTGGAAAATATCTTAGAAACTAAATAAATAGTCTAAATTAGACATAATAGCATGAAAATTTAAAATAATTTATAAACTAATAAGTGATTGATATATTACTCTAATGTAATTCTTAAACATACGTAATATAAAATTGTAGTGAACCCAAATCAAATATATCTCAAAATAATAATACTAATATCAAAAAAAAGTATGATTTTAATTTTAATATTAAAAAATAAAAAATTATGACAATATGAATTATATAAAAAAAAAACGTAAAAAGTACGACCATCCTCAACCCGACTCTGAAGAGAATTTTTCCAAATAGAATTAAACCACGAAGAAGGATTTGGATTCGTGGAGTGGGACCCGCTGGCAAGTGGAGTGTACAACCAAGCGAAAACCGCTAAGATTGAAACAGTCAAATAATCGAAACCGAGAGTTTCCTTGTGCAGATCGCTCCTCTCGCCGGCGCCAGATCGCCACCGCCGGGAATTTCCCTTTTTCTTTTCTTTTTTCCTTCTCAGCGCCTCCGCAGACGAGTTGGGGATAAGCCTGTGCGGCTGGACTGTAAGTTCAGATACCGATTGGAAAAGGCAAAAAATTTAAATTCAGTTTTTAAGTGCTGTATCACAAGTTTTCGTGTACAATTGTGCAAACTTGGTTGGTATAGTTATTTGTACAATGCTTCATCTACGAGTTTCGTGTTTTTGCCCCGGTTGTTTTCTTGTGCATGTCAACTCGTATGATATGTCGATGCTGTGGATCATCATAATTCATACATACCTGCAGAAATGACAAGCTGATTCAGAGTCGGACCGTTTTTAGGGCTTTATGTGTTGGTTTGCCTTGTTTTCCTATATCGAGATATAAATATTTTGTGCAAGTTTGATGTCTCCATTTATGCTAGTTTGTGTCTGATTAAGATTTTAAGTTAGTATGGTTCCTATATGCAAGCATAAATTCTACTAGTTTGTGTCTGACTACTTCTCTTTCTTTTTCCTTTTTTACTTTTTATCGAACGAAACTTGATCTATGCATTCATGATCTCTTATATATTAATTTTCCTGGAAAATATATGGCATTTCAATATTCAGTCTAACGGTTTATTGACTTATGAATAAACCAAAAATTCAATGCACATCAATGCTCCTGCTGTTGATTGTTTATCATAGTTCCATTTGGGCATCAATGAGAAAATGGAATTGCTGTGTTCTTAGAGGCATTGAAGGTTCGGTATGGACTGTATAATTTGGGATCTGAGCTTTGGGTCTGTGAGATTCCTTTTGGTTGATTGCCTACTATATTTTCAGGAAATAGACCCGTCTTTGTCACTTTAGTTGGGAGGATGAATTATTGACCTGTAAACTTTTTCACTTGTTTTATGTAATTCATAATTTCTTTACATTTATAAATTAGTTCTTTTACCTATAATCGGAAGTGCAAGTGACAACAATTATGTTCCCACAATAAATAGGAGCAATTATGTTCCCACAATAAATAGGAACAAAAATGCAAACTAGAGACTCATTTTTGTTCCAAAATGGTAAATTTGTCTATTGAAAGCAATCAGAAGTTCCCAATATTGGAACTTTGTCAGGAACGGGTCAGAAATAAATAACAAAAACCTAAGAGCAATGAAGTTGGTATTAAATATAAATAATTGAGTGATTATCCTCCTAAAAAGTGATTTTGCATGACCACTATGGAGGAAAAGCTGTTTGTTTATAGCCTGTTTAGGTGAAAATTCTATCAAGAAAACATACCTTGAATTGATAGTTACACAAATCTACCCTTATAAATCACATTATGGAAACATCTAATGGGAAAATCCAATCCAAACGTTGAATTAGTTTGCATTTTGCAACATCTAATAGGCATTAACTGTAGTTTGCTTGGATATTTGATTCATCTTCTCTGCTTGGAATTCTGTCTCTGCTTATCATTTTGCTTTAAAGAAGACAGTCTCTTATCATGCTTGCTTCTTGATTCTTTTGCAGTAAAATTATCATTGAGTCGTTGATTTTGAGCTGAGCATTTGGGCTCAGTGAATTAGCTGTGTGAAGATGCTTCAGATCCGGCTCAGCAAGAATCCATCCGCCGAAGGTGGCACAGTGCCAAAGCCTGTGACCCTGGACAGTGTTACTGTTGCATGCCCTGACCACCTAGTCCTTGCTGATCTTCCTGTTGCCAAGGGCCTTGGTTCAGCACCTTCTGCTTCACTTATTAAGATTGTAGGTCGTAGGTCACGCCGCCAGCTTGGTGAGCGGGTTCATTTTTGTGTCCGCTGTGACTTCCCCATTGCTATATATGGGCGGCTGGTAAGTCATCAACTATTTCTACTACTGCTCTAAACTTCCTGTTATTTAAGGTTTCTTTGCCACGGAAGCTCAAAGGTTGTTAAAAATATATGGTAGTTATGTGGAATGATGGTGTGATTTCATTTTATGTCAAACGCAAATGTGATATGCTTTTGACCTGGTGTGAACTGTGAGGATATATTGTATGAAGAAATTTTGAGAGCTGAAAGGGCCTTCTAGGCTGCATTCCATCTGGCCATGAAGAAGTAAAATTGTAAAATGATAGGGAACTAAGCTGTGCTTACTCACAGAGGGCCATTCACTTGTGCATCTTATCTGGTCAACCTTAATATGCAATTGATTTTTGAATTTTATATTAAAATAGAACGGAAATGTAACCCCCTACCTTCTGATATGTCAGTCATTGTAAGTTGCTTTTATAGTGCATTGCTGGAGAATTAATTCATAATCATAACATTTATGTCCACTTATATATGTTGCATCATATGATTTTATCTTTATGTTTTAACATTTTTAGGAGATATGTTCTTGATATGAAATAAAAAGTTGTATTATGCTTCTGTTTTATTTATTCCCCCAAATCCTGGTTATGGTAGATGAAGCCTCAGTTATAGATTTTGCCTCATGTTTTTTCTTTCCTTTTCTTTCGATTCCATGATTAATTCATGTTTTCCTTTAAAAAAAAAAAACTGATATTGCTCTTAACAGCCTTTCTGCAGAACAAGGGGTAAATTTGCTGGCATTTGATTTGAAAATCTTCCCCTAATTCTCATAAATCAAGGAGCCCTATGTTTAGTTGCTTTATTCAGATGCCCTCTCTATAACTTTTAAAGAGTCTATATAAAGCATAGGAAAGATTAAATTGTAAGTCATTACAGGGAAAAATTGTCTTGGATTGCTCTACTGTATGAGCTAATCATTTTTCATTGAAAATTTTTTCCATGTAGTGTCCATGCCTTCTAGGAGTTCAAATACTGGATTCTTGGGTACTAACAAATCATTGTTTTGCAGAACCCTTGTGATCATGTTTTCTGTCTTGATTGTGCAAGGAGTGATTCTGTCTGCTACCTGTAAGGCCATTTTCTGTACTTTCTTTATCATTTTTGCATACATACATGGCTTGTTTGGTTGGAGGGATAAGGGGTGGGGATTGAACAATTAATCCACAGCTTCATTAGTGCTACGCTAGGCAGAATAAAGTGAGGAACTGCTAGTCCCCCGGTCCAAGAGTCCTTGTCTGTTTGCAATGAAGGATTAGTAAAGGGCCTGTCATATGGGGACAATTTCATCCCACTCCCCCCACCCCCGATTGTTGGATCTTGATCTAAAGGTCTCTAAAATGGCCCACCCTATCTTTATATTTCTGAATCAAACACAATACAAATCACATATAATTCCAATCCAAACCACTCCAAATCCTACAATGCTAATCTCCAGTGTACTTAATTCCTCACAAATGATAATGCAAACAAATCCATGATCTGAATATGAACCATTGCCATATGTGAGGTTTTCTATATTCATGGCATCCTTGATTTCTTGTGGATGCTCATATTGTGATTTCTGCTGCTTCAAGTTCTGTACTCTATAGTTACTCTTCTCAATTGCCTTCCACTTACAAATACTTCAGAAGCCCCTCTTATGATCAGATATATTTTCAGGAATTTCTCTTAACCTTATCGGGTGGAGAGTGACATATTCCTATGTTACATGAAAAGGGAAAAGAGAAAATATAAGCAATGAAATCGAGGGAATGACTCCTTAAGAATAAAAAGTAGGTTTTCTCTTTCTTTATTCCTTCCCTTCTATTTTGTTTTTATGTTTTGAATTTTTTTTTTTTTTTTTTTTTTTTTTTGGGTGGTGGAGGGGATGGAGAGGCCGGCAGTTGATCAAAGTTTATCCTTTCATAAACCAGAAGAGTTCTACTTCTCCTCTTTCTGCTGTGCATGCTGTCTGCACTTTAATATGCTAAACTGCAGTTATTGCTTAGACATGTGCCAAACTGCAATTATTGCTCAGATTACCAATAGTAACTGGATAAATCAAAACATCTGGATAAATTGTGGTTCTGACTCCTGAGAGGGGTTCAACTTGGGTGAAACTCACTCAACGTGTGGTTCCAGTAGGGGTCAAAGTAATGGTATTAAAGATTTTTCACCTTGAAAATTGTATGGAGCAATCAACATTCTTAAATCCATCATGGCTGCTTTTGTATGATTTTCATGATATCTAAACCAGGAAGCCTAACTGCAGCAAGGTTGCTTTAGATATTCCATTAGCTTGTGAAAACTTCAAGTCTGAGCAGACCGTAACATCCCTCCAAAACATAAAATACTGCTATTTGTATAAACCATCACTGTTGCCAACTATATTTTAAAGTCAATTGGGCTTGGCTGCATTAAGTGGTTGATGATCTAATTAATATGGTCTTGTTTTTCCTCCACAGATGTGATGAACGAATCCAAAAGATTCAGACAATCAAACTGATGGAAGGAATTTACATCTGTGCTGCTCCTCATTGTCTCAAGTCCTTTCTGAAAAAGACTGATTTTGAATCTCATATTCACAAAATTCATGCAGACCTTCTTCATCCAAACACACAAAAAGCAGATGGAAATGAGTTAGAGGCTGCCAGTTTGAAGCAACCAACACCTTATGATTCTAGTGCTCAAGCACCATACAGGCCAATTTTCCCTTCCAATTCAAGCTCCCAAACTCAAGATCGTGAAGATGAAGCCTGTCAACCACTACCCAGGGACCAACAACCTCCCAACCCAACTATACAACAACCAAAATTGGCTCCACCATTTCTGGGGCAAAATCAAAACTATCCATCCAACCCACAAAACACACAGCAAGGAAATCTATCAGAGACACTGTTTCCTAATTATCCCCCTACTCACACTCATCAGCCCCTAATTTTTCTGTTCCAGTTAACTCAAATCCCATTATGGCTTCCCCTCCTTTAATCTCACCTAACTATCCTCCTTTTCCACCTGAAGGAGCTCAGATGTTATATGGTGCTGCTCATGAGATGGCACGGCCTCAATCTGCACCAGAAGGTCCTATAGGGGGTGTGAATTTCTCAGATTATAGTTTTCCAAGTATGCAAGATCCTCAAGGAAGAGATACATTCTTTCAAGGGCATTTTGGGCAGCACGTGGGAGGTTTGCACCCTCCTCCCTCTTCTTCGACAGACCAGATGATAGAGATAGTCCATGGCAGTAATTCTATAGATCCTAGACGAGGTAAAGGTGTACTGGCTCCACAGCCTTCACCGTATCCTTTGCCACCTCCACCAAGGCCACCTCACTTTTCACAGCAGAAAGATTATGTCTACTTGGGTGAGATGGATCGGGATGAATGAAGAGGCTTTATGGGGCAGCAGGGGAGAGGCTTGATAAGCTTTCAAAGTGGTCAGAATTTATAAAGCTATTTTGTTTCTTTTCTGCTTTACACTGTAATATTGCCTGTATTTCTGCTAATCACTGGTTTATATGGTCTGCATTTTCTGGTTTCCTAACGTTTTATTTATCCATTGGTTGCCTATTTCCTCTGTGTATTGCTTCATATTTTGCGTGAATAATATCACTTGCAAATGAAGTGGAAAAATCTGTTTCAGAATTCAGATCAAGAGAACACATAGGATTCAAACCCTTTTCCTAAACGTATGCGATTGTTTACGAGAATTCTGTCTCCATTTTCTACTCATACTCAAAATCATAATTATAGTTATATCACAACGAAATTTATTTTCTATTTTTTTCTTTTTCTATTTATTTCTCTTTGATTTATTAAGAACTAAAATAGAGCATATTGAATAAATCAAAATTAACTGTTGCTCGTATAATTAGCCCTTACAGCAGGACCACAAGTTAAAAAAAAAAAAAAAGGGAAGACCAGGTTCCCGGCCAATTTAGCAGTTGACATTTTAATAGTGAAGCAGATGGTTCTTCAAATTTATTGCACAACTAAAGCCAGCAATACCAAACAAGAAATCTGAGCCAGGAAGGAGTGGCATCTGAGAGATGGAGCGGCAATGGTAACCATTATTCACTGTCACACTGCTTTTATGTCTGCGTATAACAGCATCTTTGGAGAGGCAAATGAAGGTGATTGAATGGCCACATTGGCGGAACAAAGCCAGCAGGAAGAGCACAGCTACCGTGTTTTTTTTCTCCCTTTCTTTTTTAACAATCAGTATCTTCATATCAAGGTTATTCAAATTATAAAACCCATCTCTCCATCAATAAATGTTCCAATTCAAAGAAAAATTTTGGATCACCTTCACAACAAAGATGCTTGTCCTTGCCCCTCGAAGGCAAATAAAGTGTGACATGAACAACTTTAAAACTCACAAGCAATTTCCTCTGCGGAAAGAAAAATATATATCTCCTCTATAATGCTTCGCACAACTTCTCACACAGTCCTTGGCATTTCACTTACAAGTCTTCAAATGAAAGCTAAAAAAAGAAAAGGAGAAAGAAATTCAACTTAATTTCTTCTTCTGCAAAACCCAGCTCTGAATCCTACCAATATACTGGACATTAAATTTCACATACAGCTGCCGCAATTTCATACACCCAATCAATATGAATCTGTCTATAGAATCTTCATACTTCTCGTAGAGTGCCGGAACCGTAAGCACAATAAAAAGGCCTGCCATGAAGGAAAAAGGCATACAAGCACAATTAGGGAGTGAATGATGACGATGAAAATTATGAAGAACTTGATTCTTGGAATCTCATTAACTGTCATTTCAAATAACGGGTTGCATATTGGTACACTTAGGAAAGAGATCAGACAAGGTCGAAACTTACTGGTGTAGCCTAGGGTAAGGAAATCTGTCAAACCCCCAGCGACCGAAATTAGCCATAGACATGCAGCTATTTTGAAAAACATTCTGGTGTCCTTTCCCAGAGCAATATCCTTAGATGTTGAAAGAAATTTGTTTGTGTGATCTCGGATTAGAGCTGCTATATCATTTACCACCTCTTCTGAGAGGTACACATCTGGCAGTGGTGGAGCAGGCCTGGTATATATACAAAATAAGCAGCTTATTAGTTGTTGTCTTTTAGTTCATACGCATTCTTTAAGGTTGACCCCAGAGAGAGATAGGCAGCAACATTTTCACTGATTCATCGTGCATGTCCAACCCAACATAATCATTAGATAACTACCAACTATTTTAAACTAAAATTGGTGCATATATTTTCTTCTTTGAGAATAAAACCATTGTCAGAAGTTTTTGAAACAGTTTCTAAAGCAACTTATTCTTTGATTTCTATGAAAATTATGTGAACTGCTATAGTATTTAGGTTTTGAAATTACATATCAGCAAAGTTCAACTTGAGGCCCAATCACCAAATAGTAAAACGGAATACCTTAACTCATTGCTTACCTACCAAGCATAATAATAATGTTGATAAAGTACATCATTTTCTCGCCCATGGTACTTCTGCCTCAACATATTTAGGAGATAACAATAAATAGTAACAGTTCTAAATCCTAGATGCATTATGATTTGGTTACACTAAGCGGACTCTTTCTTTTTGAAAACGCATGTTAGAGGGGCATAGCATTTGATATTGTTTTAGTATGGCCTGTAGTGATCTATGCCATCCGTATTGGAGCGAACATCTGAATAGGTGATTGGACAACTCCCAAAGCCTCACATCTTTATGAGAACTTGATCAAATTGAAACCATAAACTTCTATCCAAGAGCCCCGAATCTTGTCAAAAGAAAAGAATAAATAAATAAACTAGAGATTTTTGCATTCATCATTTTGATAGTTGAACATTCCATTTCCCTACTAGTGTTTTCATTGCTGATGTATATGAATAGAGGAAATGGTAAATTATATATATATGAACCATCAGAATCAACTTTTGGGTATTGTTATAAGACCTAGAATTTTCTTTAGAAAATTCCTTGCGACTAGGAAAGAATACCTTAAATGTATTAAGATCTATAACTACATGAAAAGCACTTGCCTAATGCAGGACCCTTTTGAATCTCATACCCCAAGCTGAACTTTGAGTGCCTTTTCTAGGTTTCTTGCTACAAATATGTAGGTATTACCCCTATGCAGCACTCTCTTCCTCGAAATTATTTAATTTCACAATGTACAAGGAAAGAGGTCAAAACTTAGATTCAGATTATACAGGACCCGGTCTGCTCTGCTTACCTCAAACCGCATGGGCCATAGCTGATTGTCTTTAATTGCCTAGGATTTACCAAAAAAGAGAGATTATGAAATGGCTCTAGAAGTTACCGGTTTAGAATTGCCGCAGATTTGGCCCAGAGGAAGAGAATGGTAAGGAGGAGCAAGAGAACACTAGAAACAAATGATAGAAGTGTATATCCGGATTTCTCAAACATCACCCAAGCAGCAAGAGTGACCACCAGAATCCCCAACGTGAGATTTTTCCTCCTCCACAGCATCACATCTGCAACTGTATGAGAAAACCAAAAACTAAATGAACACATTTCTCATGAAGCTCAAATTCCACTTGCAGTTTGCCATTTTAACAAAGGATTGAATGTAACTTCTATCTGAGTAACCAGTGAATTCAGAACAATTATTTTGGACAATCAACTTGTCAATAAATTAAAGGAAAGTATATATATCTGACAAAGCTTCAATACAAAAACCAGATGACGAGGAAGTATTGGGAAACAGTTTTTGGTAGATTGTTTTCCAAAACTGTTTTTAGGAGAATATTTAGAAAAAGAGGCCCATTTTTTAAAACAACAAGTGGGTTGTTCTCAGAATTCTCAGAAACTCTTTTTAATCTAAAAATAAAAGGCTATAAACAATAGAGTTTCCAAGATCCAGAATTTTCTGTGTCTGAAAATACACAAAACCAAAACTGAGAACGGAACGCAGAAAACAGAATATAAATCCAAACAGATTTGAATTCAAAATAATGTAGAACAAAAATCATCCTACGATTCCGATGATCCAATCCTGAATACAACTGTAAATGAAGTTCAAATTTCAAACTTGGAAAATTATGGAGGTAGATATATATATATATATATATATATAGAGAGAGAGAGAGAGAGAGAGAGAGAGAGAGAGAGCGAGGGAGCGAGCATGCGAGGAGTGCAATATCTTGAATTGAAACCATAAACACGTTATCAGAAACGCCATTGGGAGGAGAAATAATCAATGTTTTGCTTACTCGATCCGCCTCCGAGGATCTGATGGACTGTTCTTTGCCTGTTGAACAGTCGATCCGATGAAACCATTTGAAGAAATTGAAGTACAAAGAAAACCCAGAGATCTAATCAGATTGTCTATGGAAACAACCAAAATTCCTGAAGCTTTGATGCGATCCGCGGCCAAGCAAATTTTCTCTGTGCATGTATATGCTGTCTATTAAAGAAAAGGTAAAGAGTAGCTTTCATCTGTAAAGTTTTCTGTCCACCTTTCACTTGGTCTCTGTATCTACTATATCCAAACTACACACACACACACACACACAGATATATATATATATATATATATATATATATATATATGGGGCAGTGAATGTGTAAAGGTGGGGGTAATGGTTCTCAGATTCCAGCCTAAAAGTATGAAAACACACTCATGGCTCATCTTCATCCCCCATTGTTATTCTACCCACAGCATAATTAGACAAGAGTCCCGCAGATATAGATATGTGGGTGTGTGTGTGTATATATATATACACACGCGCGCGCGCGCAGGGAGAGAGAGAGAGAGTAGAAAAAGACATGCTCCGGATGACAAGGCTCACCGGCCCCTCCACTGATGTTCGTATGGCTGCTCTTACTTTTTACCATCTAGAGAGAAAAAGAATCATCTTTTGAAAGCTCATTTTTTATTTTTTATTTTTTATTTTTTTTTGGTTGGGGGCGTGGGGTTTGATTGGACACTCTTTCAACAAACACAACCCCTCACATTTTAATTTTAAAAATTATGCATTAAACTAAGCAAAAGCGTGCAAGAAGTATATCCGTTTTTTATATGTGACATTAAATATTGATTTAAAGATTAGTAATTTCTAATATTAAATATTAATTTTGATTTTAATTCAACTCTATTGAATGTCTTACTCGTGGTATCGAAATAGATACCTACATCGTTTTCTTTCTCTTCCTATCCGGCCCTCCAGCTAAGCCCTAATCCACTGCAACAACCTCTAATCCCCGATATTTGTTAGCCACGACCATGCACGCAAGGCAAATTTGCACTACCATTTTTTTTTCAAGATTTGTCATCTTTTTCTTTGTTTTTACCGTTTTGCCTTATCTTTTTTAACTATTTAAGGAGTGTATTATTCAAAAATTTCATATAAAAATTATTATTTTTTTACTATCTATTTTCTCCATTTAATTTATTTGTGTGTTTATTAAATTCCTGACTTAGTTATTATATTATTTAATAAATTATTTAGCTTTGTTTTTATTTAATTTATCTAATTTTGGTTAAAAATAAATACCTAATTTGAATGAATTAAAATTGTTTTAGAATCTGCGATGTAGTTTACATTTACATTAATTGTTTAGAATAAAAGCAGGCCAGAGTCATCATTCATCGAACTATCAGCGGCAAGATAAAAGAAAATTACCTAAAAAGACAAAGGACGAAGCAGTCATTTCGCGGTTGTTAAGGTAAAGCGGTAATTTTACCAGACCAAATGGGTAAAGCAGTGATTTTCCCAGAAAAAGTAAGGGCAAAATGTTAAATTCACGAAATAGATATATACTACTGATTTAATCCAACAAAATAAAAATAAAAAGGTCATGTATTTACATACTTTATTTTATATAAATTACAAATGATGAAAAAAAAAACAAATGGATGTACTAATCCATTCTTCTTCAATAAATACCTACGCGCACAACTTACATAAATTTGCATGTATACTTCAACATTTTCCCTTATTCTCACTCTAGCCCTTCTGTTTCTATCATATTCTATTTGTTGCTTTTACTTTTCTCTTGAACACTGGCCTTCGTCGCAAAAATCACAATTGCTGGGAGACCCTGGCTTCTTTTATCCCCTCGGGAGGCCTCAAATCCAGTGCGTTAATTTAATGTCCCATTACCTATCACTATGGATGGTCACTAATTAGCTCAACAATAATATCCTTGTCCTATTATTGGTTGATAAAAAGGGAGAAAGAGAAGCTAATAACAGAGGCAAAAAATGAAGACAAAAATAATAGTCATCTAATCCACCACCAGGTTGAAAGAAGATATTATCAGGGTGATTACCATAATTGCCAAAGTCATTGAACAAGTGAGACCTCTTGTTGAGCCATATTTTGGTGTCACATGGAGAAAAAGGAATAATACAAAAAAAAAAGTGGGAAAAATTGATATGAGAAAGAAGAAGATGAAGAAAACCAAGTGGAATAGGGCCAACTAGCAATGAACAACAACTCACAAGTGAACAATACACACTCAATAGTTCAAGGAGAAAGATCTAATCTGAGCTTTTGAAAGTTTAGAGGATTAATCTATAATTTGGAAGAAGTTCAGGTACTAGTTTGTATTTTAGAAAATTTAAAGGTCTAATTTAAAATTTTCAAAAGGTTAGGGACATGAATGTAATGTAGAGTTTAGGGGCCTGTTTGCAAATACTTTAGAATTTAGGGATCTAATTGCACTAAATTAGATTTCTGGGACCCATTTACAATTATCTAGAGGCCAAGGAACAAACTAGAAAGGATTTTGAATCTCGGCCTATAAATCAAATAAAGGTAGTTTTTCAACTCTGTGAACAAAGAATCGGTCTCTAAATCAAGAATATGGTGTTGAAAACTATGCAATTTATGAATTCAAACCGAACTTGACCTCATCAACTCATTTTCAAGGGTTTGAATTCAAAAGCACAAGTGGTTGAGTTACAAAATAAATTTCTTAAATTATGAACTTATTGTGAGTTTCCCAACTCATGAATTTAGATTTATGAATTGAATCCTTGAAAATGAGTAGACGAGAAATCGCTTTTGCCTTGGCCTGGGAGCTTGGTCTCCTCATGTGCCTATGAATCTTGTTACTCTTGTTGGGATCACAATCTGTGTGTCATTCAGTTACGAATATGCTTCCTCGATCTTATATTTATTTTTTGAAACTTCATCTTATGATAAATATGTGATACTTTGGTGTTTGAGATTTCAAATAGCACCTAACTTGGATTTTTACTGTTATCATATGAATTTTCAACAATCCAATAAATTTTGGTGAATTCATAGTGTTCGATCTTGAGTGTACAAGATAGTATAAAAAATGATACATAGATATTCATAGTTCCACTCTGTAACTTACAATAATATATTTGAAAATGAGAGACTCTTTTCTTTTATAATATAATTTTGATTCAATATAGTACCAGCCATATCGGAAAATGGATATATAATACACAAATAGATGTGAACCTTGTTAAGGGTCTTTGCAGTTTAATTTTTAGAGCAATGATGTTTTCATAAAATGTTATATGTCTGATATATTCAGAATTTCTAAACATATTAAATAACGTAACTTATTAATGATATCAGTATATGAACCACCTGAGTCTTTCAACAGGAAAGCATGGGCAAGAAGTGCTGGCATGTGACAATTCATGTAAACCTCATATTGTAATCACTTTGGGCTTTTGAAAGGTTCGTTTGTGATCCAATATGCCTTTAAATTGAAGGTCTTGAGATGGGCTAATCTGTAATTCATTTTCATAATTATTAATCTAAACATAAAATTCATTTTATTCTGAAATCCAATTTTTTCATATTTATTTTATCTAAACTCACTTTTCATTCACTCTCTTTACTCAAACCTTCTATCAAAGGAGTCCTTGAAGAGTAACAATCCCAGTCAACAAGCATAATTTCTGGAGCGACGTGATTTTTGGAAGGAGACGATGGCAGTTACTTTTGAAATAATGTAACTTAAAATTTGAAATTTTAGACGTTGGATTTGTAACTAAGCTCGAGTTATTCTTATCCTTGAAGTGTTATGATCAAAGTAGCATTTGTTTTATTTGGGTTTACGTAGTTGGGTTTCATGTTTTGATATTGGTGAATTCAATATTCAATCTAAAATGAAATCTCGAAATATGACACTGAAGGATATCATGTAATACCCCAAATTTTGGGGTTAATTAAGAAATTTAGAAATTCAAGAACTTAATTGAAAGAATTAGGATATTTTAGGACTAAATTAAAGAATAAGGGATGCAATTGAATAGATTTAAAACTGACGGGACCCGAACAGAAATAATAGCAATAGACAGGAATTGAATTGAATTGAATCAATAAATAAGGGACCAAATTGCAAAAATCCCAAATCCGGATCCTGTTCTTCATCCTTACCTTTCTTGAAAAACCCTAATGTCCAATTTAATTCAATTGGAGAGATTTACGTGATTTAATCTCCAATTGAGTACATACATACATACATACATACATATATATGTGCAAATTGACACTTAGAAAAAAAAATCCTAATCTAATTTC